CTTATTTAGATTTAAACTTTTTGCAGTGCATAGCAGCTTTGGCTACAATGCAGCCTGCAACCATCAGTGTGAGTGACTGAATGTGCACTGCAAAAATGATCTAGAAATAAGTAAAAATGTCTTAAATCAAGTTTATTTACCCTTAATTTTAGTATGTAAATGAGATGATTTGCCAGTAGAATGAGTATGTTTGCTTTTAAAATAAGATAATTAGATAATATGCGCTTGCAATAAGACAATGCAGTTATTTTTTCTTATTTTAAAGGTCAATTGTTTTGTTCCATTGGCAATGCGTCTCACTTACTTCCTCAGTTCAAGACAAAATGCACTTATTTTAAGAAAAAAATACTTATTTAGATTTCAATTTTTTGCAGTGTGGTGTAAAGCACTTTTGTCAAGTCTCCTGATTTGAAAAGCGCTATTATCAGAACAGGCCATTTACCGTTTATCTTGTGCATGTATATGATTATTTAATTAAAGTATTTTTGTTTTTTGAAAAAAGTTTTTTCATGTTGAAAATATGTATCTTTTTTTCTTGTCTCTGTACTTTGATTACAGATTGCCAGCTTGGCGTCTCCACATCAGGCGGAGCTCTATCAGCGTCTAAAGTTTGAGAGAGGTGGGTATTTATTACATGTCTTACACAGCAAAAACAATCTAGAAATAAGTAAATACATTCGTATTAAGTGTATTTACCCTTGATTTGAGCAGGTAAATAAGATGATTTGCCAATAGAATGAGATTTTTTACTCTTAAAATAAGATAATTAGATAATATGCACTTGAAATAAGACAACTAAATTGTTTTTTTTTTTTCTTATTTTGAATGTAAATGGTCTTGTTCCATTGGCAATCCTCAATTCAAGAGAAAATGCATTGATTTTAAGAAAAAAATTACTTGTTTAGATTTACATTTTTTCCAGCTGGCCTTAGGGCTGCGTTATCAAGCTGCTCAGTGTTTTTGTTTTGTTTTGCATTAACATGAAAGTGTTTAGCATTTTATAAAAATTAAAAAAACCTGCAAATCCCCTTGACTCTTTTGAGAACTGATATTTTTCTGTTTAGAGCCAATATGGGGTTTGTTCTGCAGGTATATTTTGTGTCTCTTCCAGCTGAACTGGAACAGTAGCAGATATTATTTACCTCTGAATCATGAGATTCAGATTATTGGAAGTAAAACAAAGGTCAAAGTACTGATTCTTTTACTGCAATGACTCCTTTATCATGTTGCGTAGTGAAAGTAAAAACTGCCATTCATTAACTTGTATGGAATGCTTCTATTTTTTTAATTTAAGTGGTTCATAGATCTTTGTTGGTCTTTAGAAATATTACCTTTAAGACAATGAAATGAGTTTACTAGAAGGTTGAGATTAATTAACCACAGTTTGCTTGTTATTCATCACCTCATGTCTGCAGGTATGAAGGTCTTTGGGAATGCTAGCGTTATTTAATTAGTTTTTGATAGTTCAGCTTTTTATCAAACACTCTGAAGAAGACAACAAGGTAGTAAAGAGCTATAAACAGACACATAGTTATTGTAAATCACACATGACATGCAGCTGTTCTGCTGTTTCCAGAAGCAATGATTAAAGTCAAACCCCTAATAAATTTGAATGAAACAAGTAGTGATTGTGATCGAGTAAATAGATGCTTGGTAAAATAGCTTCAGTAGTGAGTAACTGTTGGC